TTGGGGTGACACCTTCTGCTGTCAAGAATTCAATGACTGCACGTTGCTTAAGTCGCATTGACTGACCGTCTGTGCAGGGTTCCATACTTCGCACTTTAACAACACAACCATTCAATGCTAAGGCTTCCCACCAAAATGGAACTGTAGAGAGTCTACTGAACAAGCCAGTACCTGCCACATACCAGTACTGCCATCTGTTGAGGAGTTACGAAGGTGGAGGCATTACTTTTCATTCAACCCTCATGTAAAGCTGAACTGTTGTCACTTTGGAAGCCACTTTGAGTCCCCTTTAGGGTAAGAGAGAGTGAGGTAAAAAATATAGGAAAAAATCAATCAATAAATATATTCATAACAAATTTCCCTTAAAGAATCCTAGGAAATAAAGTAAAGAGTTTTGCCAGTCAAAAAGAGAGGGAAGTAAAAATTCTATGTGGAGATATAGGAAAATGGTTCACTAATTTAGTTTTGGTTTGTAGCAGATTTGTCTAGCGTGGGTATAAGTTTGTACAGATTGAGTATACCTTCTCCAAAATGCTTGGGACCAGAAGTGAGTTTTTTTTTCCAGATTTTAGAATACTTGAATTTGCATACACATACAAAATGTGGTATCTTGGAGATGGGACCCAAGTCTAAAAATGAATTTGTTTCACATACACATAGTCTGAGGGTAATATTATACAATATTTGTAAATAATTTTGTGCATCAAAAACTGTGTACAGTGAACCTTAAGTAAGCAAACACATCAGTATCCCAGCCACCTATTAGAACAATTTCAAATAATGAAGTATTTTGGATTTCACATTTCCCAATAAGGGATGCTCAATCTGTATGGGAAAGAGTGAACTCACCTTCTGCATAAGAACAGTACATATTCACAGGCTGCATAAGAAGGGAGGGATGACTTGCAGTAGCAGGTAATAAAGGCATTAACCATTCTCTGCACTGGATTTATTTATTTATTTATTTATTTATTTATTTATTTATTTAATACACTTGTATACCGCTAATATCTCAGCCTAAATCGGCGACTCATTGCGGTTTACAGCAATTAAAAGCAATTAAAAGCAATGTACAATTTAAAACAACAACACGTAAACAATACAAATTATTGGGCCACCAATAATAATACCATGCTTCTCGTCACAAAAAATCACAGTCCAGAGTTCGTCATCCATAGTTAACCAGTCCTTAGTCTATAAATTCAATAGTAACAAACTAATTGAATGCTTGTTTACACAACCATGTTTTTAATCTCTTCCGAAAGACCATCAGCGAAGAGGCTGATCGTATCTCTATAGGGAGGGTGTTCCAAAGCCGAGGGGCCACCACAGAGAAGGCCCTGTCTCTCGTTCCCACCAGCCGCACTTGGGAAGCCGGTGGGATAGAGAGCAGGGACTCTCCAGAAGATCTTAGGGTCCTGGTGGGCTGATAGGCTGAGATACGTTCGGATAGATAAGTTGGGTTTAACACTGAGATGTCTAATTCAAGTTCAAATCTTTTTAAAGTGCTGCTGCTAAACCATAAATCGAGAGATTGGTCAGCTACTGCCAGTCAAGAGAGACATCACTAGCAATAATAAAAATAATAAAACTTTATTTATACCTTGGGGCGGCTCACAAAAAGCACACCATAGTGCCACAACAAACAGCATACATTTATATAAACAACATATGTCTGTATAAAAAACAACACACATTTACATGAAACAGCATACTAATATAACCCTACCAATTTAAAATCCAACAGATGAAGCAAGCTGAAGATAAAAACAAGCTGTGTAGCATCTCAGCCAGTAAAGTGCTAACATAAATCAGTCACTAGGTCCTCGGGTTTCATGGTAATCATGGTCCAAAGGCTTGTACAAAAAGCCATGTTTTCAATTGTGTCCAGAACGCTTGGAGAGTGGGAGCTAACCTAATCTCTTTAGGGAGGCCATTCCAAAGCCGGTGGGCCACCACCGAAAAGGCCCTCTCTCTCGACCCCACCAGCCACACTTGAGATGGAGGTGGGACTGAGAGGAGGGTCTTCTTGGCAGATCTTAGAGCTCGCGCCGGTTCATAGGGGGAGATGTGGTCGCAGAGACAGGTTGGAAATTTGTGCTTATTTTATTCTTGCACATGAGATAAAAAATGCAAGATGTTTTTGGCGAAAATTTCCTTTTTGTAAAAAAAATACATTTTGTGCAGAATACATTTCTTTGTACAGGAACATTTTTTGCACAACACATTTTTGTGCAAAGCCCTGTATTTTGCACAAAAACATTGAGGTTTTCATGACAAACTTTTTTTTAGAAAAAACCCCAAATGCAAAAAGGGATCACTATGCAAATAGAATGAGATCTATTAGTGTATTTCAGTCAAGATAAAATATGCAAGCTTTCTTGATATCCGTAGCCTGAGCCCAATCGACCATGTCACATCTCCACAAATGTTTTGTACACATGCTCGCCTCCCCTTTAAATGTTCCATGCATTTGTGTTTTGCTCGTCGTTCTTAAGTGTCAGAAAAACAGATGTTGCCATCTGAAATGCGTAAGATATAAATGTGATGTGGAAAATCTGTTTCAAAATCATATAGATCAATAGACAAAATGCTGAAATGTCTACCACAAAAACCTATAAAGAGACTGGTTTATTGTCGTCTCATTAAATAAGGAAGTGTGGATTAAAATGACATTTACCATATGTTTTGAAATTGAGAACACTGCCGAAAAATTATGAAGCTCATTAAAGCTTGATGAACTCCAAAGAAGTTCAGCCATATTGTATGCAGTTGAGTACTTCTCAACATCACTAAGAAGGTGGGGAAATGATCCATGATTTGTTAAGGGCAACACACACTGAGCAGTGAAAAAACAAGGCTCACCAACAGCAGCTTGGATTAATCTCTAGGAAATACAAAACAGACGGTGCAAGGGGATATAACTAAGCAGAGGACTTACTAGTTGGAGCTACATTTACTTTGTAGAGCTGTTTTGTGCAGCTTTCTAAAGGATATACTCTTATCTGTTCTGGGGCCATTCCTATATGAGGTTTGCAGTGTCAGAAGTGACAGATCAGGCACCAAGGGAAGAACAAGCAGCTCTGATCCAGAATGAAGATTTCCAGCAATGGAATCAGGAATGTGAAATATCTAGTATAATGCTTCCTATATTTTTAGCACAGAAATATAGAAACAGGTTCTTGAAGTTGCAATCGAAAAAGTAATCTTTCTCAGCTTTTATATCTTTTTAGTTTTTCTTCAGATTTTAAATTCAGAAGTATTTCTACTGAACTAGATGGAACCACAACTTTCAGACTTACAGTCAAGAAGCTTCAATATCCTCTCTTGATATACAAAAATGATGGGCACAACCTCTTTCTAGAGATGGAAACAATAAGACTTGTTTTAAATATTGGCAATTTCTGAACAATCACACTTTGTTTGCAGCTTCTCTTTTTGATATAGCTGTGGTGTCCCATTGGCTACTACAGATAATTCTTATCAAACACAAAGGGCAACGGCTCAGTAAAAGAAAACAGGCCCAAGGGTCAACTTTAGTACTGTTGAGATCGAAGGGATGAAAATGGTTTCATCTGAAATCCCGGACTTCCATAATCCGTCTAACTTTGACTGCCCCGGGTTAGAAGAATTGTCTGGTCCAGTATAAGGCCATCTTGGTTACAAGCCATTTGGAAGCACTACATAAATTCTATTAAAAGACGCCCTTTAAACAAAGGTTATCAAAATGTGGTCGCTGCTAGGACATTAAAATTATTTTGCAAAATAATTAATGTCCCTCCTCAATCTTCTTTTGCTCCAAAATGCCCCCAAAATAAATTTCAGAAGGTATGTTTAGAGGCCCTGCACCCACAGAGAAAAAAAAGGGGGGTGCAAATTTTTGCCAGAATTATTTTTTGCATGCAAATGCCTTCTATTTTGTGTGTGGTCCTATGGACATTTAATTCCAGAACATACCTTTTTCAGAAAGCACATTCTGTTGTTTTGAAACGTCTCTCTTAAGCCAAAAATGGTCCACCAACTTGATGAATTGTCCCCAAAAGGATGTATAAGGGCATTTGAGACATTTTTCTGTGATGGTGGATGATGTCAGGATGACCCTCCAAGGTATCCTGGGAGTAAGGTGTCCCACTAGACTTCCAGTTGCCCACTCCTGTTTTAAGACATCTATCACATTTCCCATATAAGACAAACTATGTACTGATGCACAAGTTCCCTTCTGTCAGGTTGGGGTGGGGGGGTCTGTCAGCTATTTACTTTGGCAGAACTTTTGGGAACTGTTTAAAGAAGGCCTTTTCAACCTGCGGCCCTCAGGATGTTTTGGGCTTCAGCTCCCAGTATTCCTCACCATTAAACAATCCGGCTTCGGCTTCTGGGATTTGGAGATGCAAACGCCTGGAGAGCCGAAGGTTGAAGAAGCCTGGCTCTTCAACAATCTACTACACAAATGAACATGACTGAAACCATCTTGAATTACATTATTAACACATTGAAAAACATATATGATATTTGCAATTAAGACTGCCGACTGACAAGAAAGGGGTTCAAATCCAGGGAGAGTGAGTTGAACTCCCTCTGTCAGTTCCAGCTCCCCATGCGGGGATATGAGAGAAGTCTCCAACAAGGATGGTAAAACATCAAACATTCGAGCATCCCTTGGACAACATCCTTGCAGACGGCCAATTCTCTCACACCAGAAGCTACTTGCAGCTTCTCAAGTCGCTCCTGACACACACACACACACACACACACACACACACACACACAAATCACATCATCATGTTATATCCTATGATTTTTTTTCACCAATACTGAGACTCAAGGAAATTTACAAATAAAGCTAAATTAAAAGCTCTATGGACAGAAGTATAAGATGATAAATAAACAACCCAAAGGGGAATGTGCTGTAACCTAATCTCACTATTACTTTTTTTAATTAAAGTGAAAGGGAGAAGTAAATGATTATAGTGGAATCAGGGTCAAAAGAATCCGAGAACAAATTTCTTTGCAATATTTTTAATTGCAGGAGAAAAAGAAATTATCCAGGCCCCAATAAAAAGAGATCTCTCTACCGTCTTTCACAGCTGACCTACAGCTCTTTAATATCAACTGACGAAAAACTGCAAAAATACCCTGAAAAAGATGTCAGTGCAGGCAGTCAAAAGCATTGTCTGTTCCGAGTATAGGAAGAACAGTCTTTTGTTTCTGGCAAAGGAGACTTTTCTTCCCCCTGACATTTTGCAATAGAGAAATGCTTTAAATGCTGCTCACTACCAAAGCCTTCATTTTGTCTTCTCTTGGCATCCACCGGCTCCGTTCAATGACAGTTTTAGTCACAACCAGATGCGTTTGCTTCAGATTTACTTTAACCGATCCAGCACAAACTCACTGAACAGTTCTGCGAGTCCTGCAACCTTGAATTCATTTTGCAGCTCATCCAAAGTCGAATACTCTTTGACCTGAAATTCTTGAAACCTACATTGTACAAGAGAGACTTCATGAATATGCTGTGCCTGTTGCAGAGTGTAATTATCAATTCAAAGGTGATTTTCTAGCTGAAACAGTACTAAATTATACCTCCTGTGTTCCGCCTGCACTTTTGTTTCCGAGAGCACACTAATCATTTTCTCTTTACATTTCTTTCCACTTGAATCCACGTCCACTTTGCTAGTTTTATGAAGGATGAGATATTCCTAAATTACAAAGCACACATAATATCAGAACATTAGACATCATCTCTAATACAGATTATCCCTGGAAAATGATAAAATAAAAGAGTGAAAAAATAATTAATGCTTTTGTTACAATCAGTAGATAAAGCCTCAGCTATTCTGTTAAAGGCAGATGGAAATGCTATCCTTTTGTGTCTATCTATATTGTATTTGTGCTTCCATGTAAATTTTGATGGGATCCCACCAGGGCCCTGTAGACCCTTTCTGAGCCTTCCCATTGAGCCCTCTAAATGACCCAGAAGTCTAAGAAAGTATAATTTACTTTCTAAATATATTCTCCTTCCCTCCAGCCTTCTCCTTGGTGAAATGTTTTGGTTAGAGATAAATTTGGGATGGATAAGCATCCAGATAAGCTTGTCAAGGTCCAGGAAGGGAGAGTAAAAATGCCCCCCGAGACCTCACAAACTTGCAAAATGGTTATGGACATGAATGCGTTGGGTGTGCATTTTCCAGAATTTCTTCTAATGTTTGGCAATATCTTGAAGGTCCAGGAAGAGAGAGTGCAACTGGTCCCTGGACCCTCGAACATTACCCACACATGGGAGGAAATTGTGGAAGGTATACATGTCCATGGTCACTTGGAAAGTTTGTGAGGAAAACAGTGGTCTGTCTCCTTGAATGTGTTTCTGAAACAGGATGTGAAGTTACAGCACGTATTTCATGTGCAACATCACACTGGCAACAAAGATCTTCATAGACAAAACAATGGTATTCCCCGTAGTAACCTATGGATGTGAAAGCTGGACCATAAGGAAGGTAGAACGAAGGAAGATAGACGCATTTGAAAATTCTGAGAGTGCCTTGAACCATGAGAAGATCCAACCAGTCCATACTTCAGGAAATAAAGCCCAACTGCTCATTGGAGAGAAGGATATTAGAGGCAAAGATGAAGTACTTTGACCACATCATGAGAAGGCAGGAAAGCTTAGAGAAGACAATGATGCTGGGGAAAATGGAAGGGAAAAGGAAGAGGGGCCAACCAAGGCATGATGGATGGATGGTATCCTTGAAATGACTGGCTGGACTCTGAAGGGGCTGGGGGTGGTGATGGCCAACAGGGAGTTCTGGCGTGGGCTAGTCTATGAGGTCATGAAGATTCGGAAGCGACTGAATGAATAAACAACAATTTCATGTCATCCCTATCAAAGCAACCCATATATTAATTTTTGCAATGTCCAAATCTTAAAATTGCAGGATTCCATCTAAAGTTAGTAGTTCCATTCCAGCTTACTCAATTTCCAAAGAGTTAAATAAGTGGAGGTACAAAGAGATTTGCATATACAATTACTGGATCATGCTACCCTTTTCTTTATCTCCAGAAGTATGAGCTACAAAAGTATGAGTTTGGCCACCACAATTTCCTAGAGGACAATTCCATCCATTCCATGAGACAACCCAAGGTCATTATCACTACCACAGTGTGAACAGCTTATTCTTAATGTTATTTATTGCATGATTTGATTACATTATTTCTTTAACAAAATCAACCACCAAATCTCTAGCAAATGGCAATACACATATAGCTCACAATTGGTCCACATAGATTGTGAAAACCTCAAAATTATTCTAAAATACTTTCAAGAGGCACCCAAGGGGCATATAGGGCCTTCCCGGTGGTGGCCCCCCACCTGTGGGCCACCCTCTCCAGCGAGATTAGGTCAGCTCCACCCCTCTTCTCCTTCAGGAAGAAGCTTAAATCATGGGACCAGGCATCTGGGGAGCATGCTTGATAGCGATTGCAACATTTACATGAACTGACGATAGACAGTCTCTGAAAAAATCTTTGGACGCTGAATTGGACTGGATTTGGCTACATGGTTGCTAATAATGTTTTTAAATGGATTTTAACTTAATGGTTTTATTTAATGTGTAATGTTGTGATATATTGTATGTATTCTGTATGTGTTGGCATTGAATTGTTGCCGATCTAAGCCGCCCTAAGTCCTCCTTCTGGGGTTGAGAAGGATGGGGTACAAATGTTGGAAATAAATAAATAAATAAATAAATAAATAAATACAAAGGACCTAAGAGTTTAGAGCACCTAAAGTAAAATAAGCTTCTGTAATGGTTCAGAACCAATAAAAACCACTAATTGATCCTCAGAGTGGGAACATGGAAGCACCAATATGATGGCTAGAAACGGTTTGGAAATACCTATATCTCCCCAAGGCTGGGGGAAAATGAAATTTAAAACATTTCAGAACATCACAGAATCCTACACACTTTGCCATTGAAGCAAATCCCACTGGGTTTTCTCCCAAGTATGTAGGATAGGACTGCAGCCATTACTATAAAACATTATAGTGTACCAGCCTGACCCATGGTGTGCAAACATTGTGGGGTTGTATTGATATCTTGTGTGTCACTGTGAAATTTGCTGCTTTTATGCCAGCAGTGAAAAAAAATCAACATTTTTTCTTTAAAACAAGGAATACATTTCCTGGACACATTGTCTGTAAGGGAAATTGTCATTCTATTTGCAAAGAACATACACAAGAAAGAGACTTGCCAGCCACTTTGGAAGTAGCTCATTATTTCAGTGGATTCAGCTTTCTGAAGTTTACTGAAAAGGATATTTCAAAACAGGACTTAATCTAATCCTACATGTGGTTTAATTAGTTACATTATGTTTTTGTAACATACCGATTGTTCCCTAAATCATTTGTAGATAATTTGACAATCACACCTTTGTATTTATCCATGATTTATAGGCTTTGTGATATTTGGTTCACCATTATCTTTCTATAATTACAGTTTTGTAATTATATGTATTCATGCATCTGTAGTCATTTGCATTTTGGTTTGGTTTACCCAATTGGTGAAAAAATATCATAGTAGCAAACTTGGCATTAGTGGCAAGAAGACCCAGGGAAGGTAGTAGCATTTAGGGGGGCCATGGGGCCTGGAACTGGACAAGGGAAAGCTAGATTCAAATCCTTCAGTTTACAGAATTGTGTTCAAGCTTTCTACCTCAGGTGGTATTGTATTTCTCCCTACACAACTCCTAGTTACATGCACACTTCACCCCAATAGTAACAATATAATCCATGTAAGAGAACAGGTTCCCATCGTGGATTTATTTATTTATTTATTTATTTATTTGGGGCTTTTATATCCCGTCCTATCTCAACCTCCGCAGATGGACTCAGGATGGCTAACAAATCTCCCACATCATGTTTTACTGTACTGCCTGTGGAGAAATCTAATACTTGAGGACAGAATTACAAATTCAACACAATTCACCCATAGCTCTGTGCATTGCATGAGGTCCATCAGATAATGGGTTGCAATGCCATCAGTCCTCTTCTATTGACCATACTGGCTGGTCCAAATGGCTCGGGTCCAGACTATTTGACAAACCACATCTCCCACTACATACCAACTCGGACACTGCGGTCATCGGAGGAGGCCCTGCTCTCGGTCCCCCGTCCCAAGTGCGGCTGGTGGGAATGAGAGAAAGGGCCTTCTCCGTGGTTGCCCCTCACATCTGGAACTCTCTTCCTAAGGAATTAAAGATGGCCCCCTCCCTCTCAGCCTTTAAGAAACAGTTGAAGACGTACTTCTGCTCACTGGCTTAAAAGGAGGAGGAGGAATAGATGGCAATACTGCCATTATGTTTCTGATTAATAATGACCATCTCTATCTGTGCCCTGTTAGCAGATAAGATTGAACAATCTTATCTGCCCCCAAGGAATTCCATTGGCTCTGGGAAACTGATTATTCTGTTCCATGTTTTCTTTCATGTCTGATATAGTAGGTTGTGTTTTTCATTTAACTTTAGTTGTTAAGTTACAATTTGCTTTTATATGTTGGGTTATTATTATTTTTATTATGTTCAGGCATTTAATGTTTGCCTTTTATTATTGGAATCTGCCTTGAGTCGGAATATAAATAAAGTTTTTTAATAATAATAATAATAATAATAATAATAATAATAATATATTCCCAAATATTGCCATATAAAAGTGGCCTATACAGAGTTGGCTTTCATGGTTCTCTTGGGAATACATGACCATATTTTGTTATTCCAGACACATAGTTCTTAAAATCATTGCCTTTATTCCTATATTTAGGATAAATAACTGGGCCACTGATCTCACATCTGAAAAGCAGCTTATTCTTCACAAGTGTTATTTCATCTAAGCTAAGGTGCTGGTATGGTTTTCAAGATTCTTTCCCTTTAGTAGGAATTGCCACAGGGTTTCCTACATCATGTACTTCACCTAATGACTCCTAAGTGTGAAGCAAACACAGTGAGAAAAACAAAGAGAAATATCTGATCGGCCAACAGTTCCTGTTCATTCAAGAGACGAGGAGATTAAAAGAGCCTCTACTTGGTGGAGCCCATATGGATGACTACTTGAAGCCAATGTGGTTTCTACAATTCAAGACTTTGCTGTCCAGATTTCTGTTAAATGCATTCCAAAACGATTAAGAATTTGTGGGGTGAAGAAGAGGAAAAAAGGGAGCACAATACAATTTGTTAAACAAAAAACTAAAATGTTAACGGTACCCCAGTGTCTAGTAGAAATATGTAAGAACCCACCTGTTCACCCAACCCACCCAAAACATATTGAGAGTTTTCACCTTAATGTTTTTCCTTTCTCCTTGAAGAAGAATCAGAATCATCTTTCCCATGAACATCAGTCTTCCAGTCAGATTTAGATCTGAACACCATTTTTCCACTGTTTTGACATATTTTCCCTTCGCTCTCATATGATCTAAATGCAAAAGGATGGTCCAGACGGCGGCATCCTCAGCGGTGCATGTTGATAGAGTGCTTTTCTGGCAGCAGACTGAAGTTTCGGCTTGCTCGATAATATGCTTAAGATTCTGCTGTATCCAGAGAATCAGCTCGTGTACCATGGGTTGTGAAAAATGTCTCTTTGCTTCCTCAAGTAATCTCCCTCTCACAGCCATACATTGTGTCCTTGTAAGCTGCTCAGAATCAACAGAGATATTCGGCAGGCTTGACGGGTAACTGCTCGGTAAATGAAACAGCAGCTTTAACAATACATTTGTGCCCAAAGGTCCTTCCACACTGGTCTGAATTCGGAATGAGATCCCTTCTGCCTCTAAAAAAACATCCAAAAGCAATAAAGTTAACTGAACATGCACTGAAATATTCACTACAACTCTGGTAAGTTTTGCATGCTCTCTTGAGCAGTATCAATATTTCATAGGACTAAGGGCCAGCTGAAGTGGAATTATTTTTGTACTTAAGATACTATATAATATATAATGCACATATCAGGTTTGAAAGACACTCTGCAGTGGCTAAAATTATGATCCTGTCTGCAGCTAGCTAGGTAAAAGCTCCACTCATCTCAATGGGTCTTAATTCTGCGATGTATTCATTTATTTATTCATTCAGCATCTTCCTTTTCTACTAGTAAGGGACTCAAGGCAGCCTCCAATATGGATTAAAACTTCATAATCTAAAAGTAATGGTAATAGTAGCAATTGGTTAGAGAATACTCTAAAACATCCCCATAAAAACAGAACCAGTTTTAAAAGTTTCTTAAACATTTTCAATGGTAAGACTAAAGATAAACTATTGGTTGCATGCATAATCAATGACTTATCTGTTAATTACATTTAGGAAAAGGATTAAGTGGGTGCCAGCAAGGTTTGAGTTTTGAACTAGGACACTGGACACCAGAGGGAAATGCCCATTTGGCATGGAAACCCATTGGGTGACCTTGGGCAAGTCATGCTCTTTCAACTATATTGGGAGGCAAGGACAAACTACTGAACAAATTTGCCAATGAAGTCCTGTGATTAGGTAATTTAAGCATTGCCATAAGTCAAAAATGACTTGAAGGAGCACAACATCATCAAAGGACTAAGCTTTTCTTATTCTCCTTGAATTTTTATTTTAAAGACATAAGCACTTTTCACAGCTGAATTAAAAAAAAATAAAGAATTTAGAGGTGGACAAAAAGAAAATTCCATTAAAAATGGTTGGATCCATATCAGCTCAATGGAAAGTCCATGTTCAGGTGAGGGAACCTGAACACTGACAAGCAAGGGACCAAAACACTACTGCTACTCTTGTGCTTTCCTGTCTGTGACCATTCTTAATGTGTCTTGATACCACTGTTCGGAAACTGGACTAACTGGACACACATTTTGATCCAGCAGTGTTCTTCTTAGTCTACACTGACCATGCTAGGAGATGTTACTATGTATGAGCCTGTGATGTAGAAATCCATGACAAAATGATGAGTATTCTCCCAATACAGGATAAGAAAGCTGAGACAGAAATCCCAAATCTTGGGTTATTCACTGAAACTCAACTATGATCTCACAACCTCTGAGGATGTTTGCCATAGATGCAGGTGAAACGTCAGGAGAGAATGCTTCTAGAACATGGCCATATAGCCCAGAAAACCTACAACAACACTCAACTATTAGTTGTATAAGTTGCTTGAACAGATTTTCACAAGAGTCACTCATTATCAAATATTATATTAAAGGTAATTTATACACATGACTGTATTTTTATAGTCCAGGAGCCCCCGGTGGCATAGTGGGTTAAAGCACTGAGCTGCTGAGCTTGTTGACCAAAAGGTCACAGGTTCAATTCCAGGGAGCAGCGTGAGCTTCCGCTGTCAGCCCTAGCTTCTGCCAACCTAGCAGTTTGAAAACATGCAAATGTGAGTAGATCAATAGGTACCACTCTGGCGGGAAGGAAACGGTGCTCCATGCAGTCATGCCAGCCACATGACCTTGGAGCCGGCGTTGTCTATGGACAATGCTGGCTCTTCGGCTTAAAAATGGAGATGAGCACCACACCCCAGAGTCAGACATGACTGGACTTAATGTCAGGGGACAACCTTTACCTTTACCTTTTATAGTTTTATTTTTCACACCATTTGTTTATTTAATTATTTATTAGCACCTTTGTTGATGGACGTATTACAAAAAAGCCTGAGAAAAAATCAACTAATTGGTAATTCTAGAGAAGAGTTCTATGTTTACTGTGTACTACTAAAAGACAAATAAATGGGTCCTAAGGAAAATTAAACCTGAATTCTCCTTAGAAGTCAAGATGGCTGAACTGAAACTATTGTACTCTGGGCATATTGTGAGATGGCCTAACTCACTAGAAAAAACAACAACACTTGGTAAGGTAGAAGATGGAAGGAAAATAAGATTACATTTCAGATGGACAAACTCAATCAAGGAAGCCACAGCCCTGGATCTGCAAGACACAGCAGGGATGTTGAGGTTAGAGTTGCTTGGAAGTCTCTCATTCATGTAGACCCCAAAGTCAACTTGATCACAGTTAAAAGTATTGTCACCATAAATAAAACTGGTCATATATGTATAATATTGAACCACACAAACTGTAATCCAGAAATTTTAACAGAGCCATAAACTCTCTAGATGGGCTACTCTTGGTGCTATTTTGCAGGTCCATTTGGCGGAGGAGATGCTGATAAGATGTATATGAAATGCTGTGAACCTTTGGAATGTGTCATTGAAATGCTTTAGTTTCCTTAGTATCAGTAGTTTTATCATAAAACTAAAGGAAAAGAGCATCATGGTACACCGTTCATGTCAGACTGGTTTTAGATAAAGCTGAGGAAAAACAATTCTAGCTCTTTCACTATATTAAAAGGGGACAAGGATCCCATCTGCTTCTACTAAAATGGGGGAGTGATAAGAATATAAGATAAAAGGTGCTCTTTTTCTGATCTTCACTGCCTCTTCTCTTTGATGTGTTCCAACCACTTCACCCCAAATTCTTAGAAAAAAGTTGCTAAAATGTCAAGTTGATTCATCCTACAAGGTAGGAAGAGACAGATCTGAAAGGTGCAGCGAAGCACTCCTAAGTTTCAGATGAAGCCTTTTGAAGTGGCTTGTCTCTTCCTTCCCGCCTATGTTTTACCCTCCCCTCCACCTGATACGGCAATGGAACGATGTTTGATTTCTTCTCCCCTGCCCTCCCGACTGATCTGGCTTTGCAACCTTCTGTGCCCGCTACAAAACAACAGACAAAGCCTCTTCAATGAATGGGATGGGTTGAAATGGTTCAGAAACTGGGTACTATTAACAGAATAAGGCAAGGAGTTGTTGACAAAGAATCTTCAGCAACAGTGGCTTCACAAGACTCAAGGTTTAGCACATACTCTGCTGCCTGGTTAATCTAAAATCTAATTAGTCCAAAAAGATTTGGTCAATCAACTAAATATTATGAAAAAAATTAAGATATTCCATTTGAATCCCACTTGCTCACTCGGCGACATATTTTCAACATCATTAGACTTTGATAGTTCTATGAATTACAAAAACATTGGTGAAAATCCAGTTGCTAGTCCAAATAAAGGTAGGCTCATTCAGTCAATGAGATAGACATACATGTTGATTTACCATTCAGTATTTTATTCACTGAGAGCCCCATGGTGCAGCAGGTTAAACTGCTGAGCTGCTGAACTTGCTGACCAAATGGTCGGTGGTTCGAATCCGGGAGCAGGGTGGGCTCCTGCTGTTAGCCCCAGCTTCTGACAACCTAGCAGTTCAAAAGCATGCAAATGTGAGTGGATCAATAGGTACCACTCAGACAGGAAGGTAATGGCATTCAATGAAGTTGTCCCAGCCAAATGAACTTGGAGGCGTCTATGGACAATGCCAGTTCTTCGGTTTAGAAATGGAGATGAGCACCACCCCCCAGAGTCAGACATGACTAGACTTAATGCCAAGGGAAAACCTTTACCTATTCTATTTATTTACTCTAGTTTAGATTACCAATTAGATATAGGCCAAAATAGTACAGCAAAATTGTAAAGCTGTGACATATATGTTACTTTAAAAATCAAATTGCAAAGAATTAATACACCTTATAATCAACACAGGATAAGGGTTCTGCAAATGTGAATTTCTAACTAAGCAGCACTTCTCACTAAGCAGCACAGCATGTTGTTGTGCAGACCAAAAGTAAGTTTTTACCTACACAGTGGCAGTTTTGACTTTGCTGAGTATTTGACAGCATGGTTACTATCACATAATAATCCATCAACTGAGCAGTGTATATTTTAGCTGAACAGACTTAAAATTTGGTGGAGAATATCTACCCACCTAAATATCATTCTTCAAATCTCCTTAACAAACTATCATGACCACTTCTAACCACAGCACTTCTTGCTACATAAATCATGGCAAATAAAAGGCGAAAAACAATCATATTCCCCTGGCTAGGACTTCAATAATAATCAACAAAGTAGTAATCATCCTCCATTTGGTAAAATTAAAACTGGTAGATTACAACAACTCTTCCTCACTTGAGTACCAATAATAGCACCTTATATTTGCCCAGTTCTATCATATGTAGGTCTATTTAAAACAGAGAGTAACAATTTATTATTCTGTTGGCATTTGCTGTGCTAATAAGCCAGGAGAATCTCACTCATTTCTCCCCATCACTCCATCCTTATTTTCATTGGTAAATTTAGTGTCAGCACACTTCAAACTGTTTCCTATGTTTAGTGTCAGCTAGATGGGGTTCGTCTTTCCTCTCCTACAAGCTGTCATTGTCGCACACTCGTTTTGCATTTCTGAGAGTTACTTCCTAGAATCTAAGTTTTGATGAACAAATATATATTTCATGGCGAGAGAGCTGAGCAAACTAGAAAGGAGGAAAGAGTGGATTAACAAGTAAATTATGTCATTCTATCTGCAACAGTAATCTTTGGAGCCAAAATAAGTAAAATGCAATAGGACATTTGTTAATTAGCTTATTTAAATTCATACACACAGCATTTTCAATAAACCATTTTTTAAAAAATTTGAATATGCCACTGGTGAGCTTTGGGAAACTTGTGTTTTTATGCATACTGAGCACAGGCAGAGATCTCTTTTCTTTTCTGAAACTCATCAGTCTTCAAGGAACATCTATTCTGACTGTCAACACAACCATTGAAGCAATTGTGTAATAGAACTATGTCTCCCAAGCATTTTTTATTAACTAAAGATCGTTGGAAAGTTATTTCCTGAAGGGTAGGTGATAAATTAAAAGAAGCAGGACAGAGGTCTCTTGATGGCGGAGAAGTGGAAGAACTTTCTCACCACC